TAGATCGAATCCATATGAAAACAACTGATTCATATAATTGTGAACTCTCAGAAGCTTAAAAATGATATTTCTTTTTCGTTATTAAGAATGTTTTTTCTATTGATTTTTTATTGCTCTATCCGCAGCTATAGTCAAAATGTATGAAATACAAAACAGATGTTTCGACAATGATCAAAAATTTGTATTTTTCGACTTTTTCTATTAACCATGATGGAATAAACAAAAAAAAAAGAAAAGCAAAAGAGTAAAACGTGATGATGTAACGATGGATCATGTATTAAAATAATTCATTTAAAATAAAAATTCATTTACAAAATAGAATAAGAAAACATTCATGTATATATTCGAAATTATTATGTTTAGCTTCAACACTACACTCCAGCATTATTCGCAACAGACGAAACTTTGAAAATTAAATATGACTTTAGAAATAAATGTCAAATGTCGATTACTTTAGTACGGATGCAAAAAGTAGTACCCATGTAGGATTTCTGATAAAATCGAATCTATTTTAGAAAAAGATTATTTGATTTAATCTTTTCTTTATCTATTTTATATTAATTAAAGGTTTTTAACCGATTAAAATAGATTAAATTAAATGAAATCTATTATTTAAGGCTGAAAAATCAGATTATAATAGTGTTATTATAATCGATTTTTAATCTTCTTCTTTTACATAAGAAGAATAACGTCGGAGAAAAGAGCATCTAAAACTGGCTTGCCAAGTCGCTTGGAATCTGATAGTTTTCTATATTGAGCATGTATTTTCTTAAGCAGAGATAAATCGATGTCTTGAATTAGTAATTAGAGCTTAGAATATTTTTAGTATTGAAAATTACCGGACTTCTTGCAATTTTGTATGTCAGTTGTCATCAGATGTGAATATTATTTCCGATGCTATTCTGAGATTTTGTTTAAAGCAAAACACAAATCTTAAAATCAGTTAGTATTGTTCAAAAAAAATATGAATTTACGATCAATTTCACAATCTTTTTTTTTTTCTTGTATTTCATGAATTTCAACTAGAGCTTCTGATAGAGTGAACAAACATTAATCATAGTTGATATAAACAATCCATAGAAACTACATTTTTAATAACAATGTCATCTTTGTCATCATGTTTTAGGGATTGATGCAGTCTTAGAGAAACAGGAGCTACCTGGTTTGTGTATTTTCTGTCGATATTAAATTTTGTCTCGTAAATTGAATATATCTCTAGCAAATAGATGCAGTCATATTAATTTCAAGAAGTCGATAAATATTACAATTTTAACAATGCCTTTTGTTATACTTTCACTAATTAGAACAATCTTTCTAATACTTACATACATATATCAATATAAAATACTTTTGACTATTACTTTGAATGTTCACTTTAAAACAGTTTTTTTTAATACTCTATTATCTTAGCTTGTTTTCAGTAACATGTTAGATTTTCTATAAAGATTAATACTTTATTATTAGCCTGATATTGACATGAAAAATAGAGAAAGATATTTCGCTGAAGAAATAAAATGACAGATACGAGTAGATGGTCAAGAATCTAGATCTTACACCAACAGATCACGTTTTCAAAAACCCAGTCTATCTAGATTTTCTACGGTATATCCTACTGTCTAATTATCGTTTATTCTTTATGAATCATATTGAACTAATTTTGAAGAAAGATATTTTAAATATTTGATTACGAAAAAGAAAAAACTCAAAGGTCTTTTGCAATTAATCGCGGAAATAACTAAAACAAAAAAGAAGAATCAGGAAAAATCATGTAGATTCATCATGGCTATTTTTATTATAGAATTCTAATTGAAATGCCATTATCAATTTCGTTCTTCTTTTTTTTTTCTCATCATAGACATCTAACCTTCGCTTAGATAATCAAGTAAAATGGTCTATAATCATGAATTTTCCTATATAATGAACATCAATAACTTCTACGATATAAATAATAGTTGATTTTAGTTATTTTATAACGATGAAATACGATCGTATATTTTCAACGAGATTTATTTTGACATTTTAAAACAGTAAAAATAATTTCTTGTTAAATAATAAATAAGAAGACACAATGCATGCCTCGATGAATATTAAAATTCGGTAGAAGAAAATGTTTCATTATATTTAATTGACATTGTGAGTTCATTGATTGATTTTGGCATTTATTAACGGACATTTTTCTTCTTCTTCGCATCATGTCATCTTATATAAAAAATAAAAATAAAAAAGAACGAGAGAAATGCTAGAATAATGCATCAACCAAAAAAAAGACAAATTTCATTTCAGAATTCATCTACGATTTTAATATAAAATTCAGATCTTTTCTTTCTATCTGTTTTTGTCATATGAAATATGATATTAATTAAAACGACGAAGTAATATAACAAGACAAGTGTTTATATGATTATTGATTCTATGCTTACATAGAATATAACTAAAAATAGAGTATTCATACTTATTTTTCATTAGGTAAGTTCATAAAATAGCATGTTGAATAGAATATAAATACGATTTGATCGATTATTCTGGCGTTCATAGTTTTTTTTTCAGGCTATAATTATTATTATTTTTCTTCTTTTTATTAACAATATTTATAATAGTTCTATGTATATCAAATATGAGTCTGCACGCATTTTTCTCTTTTAGCATGCATGAGAATATTAATTTTATTTGAAATTGATCATAAATGAAAGAGATATAAAATAAATTAGAAAGGAAGAAAAGAATCAAATAGGTTATATTATATTTTAATTAATTTATTAAATAAATCATTATAGAAAGAATACAATATGACAAGTAACTATGTTGTTACACTGTTTTTTTTTCTTTTTCTTTTTTTTTCTTTCATTTACGGATCTTCTGCCTGTCGAACTTATTTCCTTTCTCTCATTTGAGGACAGACAAACTACAGAATCTTCTACAGATTCATATAAACGGTAGCAGTTAGTATTTATTTATTTTTCCTCATTGATCATCAAAATATTGTTTCTTATTGTGATAGTATTAGTGACAAAAAAGACACAAGCAATAGAATATAGATCAAAGCTTTCGAATAGATCATTGAAACAAGTTTAATTTCATCATCTTCATTCGAGATTAATTGTCATTTTGTGAGTTGTCATTAACATTAATACGTTAAAAAAAAGCTATGTCGAGTATCATATAAGAAAAATAGCATAATATTGTTGTTCTCACGTATAAACGTTCAATGTAACTATTAATCTATGGTAATGTCTATCATATATATTTTTTTTTTCTAGGTCATTAAAAACTAATTCAACAGTGTGTGACAAAGCAACAAATCAAATGAATAAAAGTAACAATCAACAAATGAGGTAAGTCTGATGAATATTTTAATATATCACGAGTATTGATAAATATCAAGTTACATAAAATAATTACGAGAATGATCTGTATTGTCAGTTGTCTGTTGTTTTTTTGCTTTATTAAATATTATCTTACACTTAATAATTCAGTAATCTTGTTTGAAGTAGAGATTTCATTTAATATTATTATCATCAAATGAACAACATTGATTGAGATATGAGAAGAACAAAAAAAAAAGGAAATTTATTGATAAATTAATGATGTGATGACATATACTTAATAAAACATTATTTAAATGTTATTTGTTACCAAAATTTATTGATTTAGTCTTTTTCTTTGTTTATTGAATTTCAATATATTTCAATTTTTTTTTTTTTTGTTATAAGTACTTAAAAATGAACGCTTAAAGCAACTTGCTTTCTTATTCGATCGTTAATTTATTTACTATAAAAAAAAGAGAGAGAAAGAAGCCTTAAAATGTCAATCTAGGTAAACGGAGTTCCATGACATTCATTTCCGTATTTCTATGATATCATGTCAATTTCATTTGTCCTATTAGAAAAAAAATGATATTTAAATAGTAATACCTGGAAAAAAGATCTTTTTTTTTTCTATAGGTTTAGTGCATTCATAAAAATTAGGGAAGCTATAGAAAAACGAACATATTAGTATATTACAAAAATAATCTAAAGTTGTCAAATGATCGAGGTCTTTGTAAGTAATTTTATATGAATTCGAGTGAAAAATATCAAAAAAAAACATATTATCAATATCATAATGACAATAAAAATATTCATAATCAATCACTTGCTAAGGTTGAATGATTTTAACTAGCATAGATTTCTATTCTTATGTATCAATTTAATGTATTATTATCACAAAAAGTACCTGAGTATCAAATGTTATAAATGTAGTTTTTTCATATCTATCTATAAGTATCGATCGAGAAACAAAAGAAGACGATTTAAATAAGTAGAATTTCCTGTTCTTGAATTCATAGTTGTTCATTCTTTTATTGTATACATGTATATATGAAGAAAGAGACAAAAGAAAAATGATGAGTAGTTTTATAGAGTTTCAATTATATTTTTTAATGTATGTATGAGAAGCAATCAAGTATGTATACTGTTTAAAACGACGAAGAATGATGCCATTCTATTACTTATTTATTTATTTATTTTATCATTATGTTCCACTAGATTATATTTCTGATTGTTTCGATGTGCATTTGTCTGCATTCGTAGTGGATGAGATGCCAAAAAAACTGATGATGAAAATAACAACGAAAAGCAATATTATCTATCAGAGTGCATACAAAAAGAAGACGTAGTATGAGAGAAGAGAAGAAATCCCACTTCTACTATTAGCACTCTTTAGTGATGTAAACACGGTTCTCTCTTTCTCTATTCTCTATTTTTCTGCTTTTTTTCTTTGCCTATACTTCTTCTCTTTTCTTACTATATTCTTTATTGTATTTTTTACAATTATTAAATGTGAAAGGCATCTAAGACTGAACATGAATGCAATAAGAAGTTGAATTATTATCCTATAAGAAAAAAGCATATTACTGACTTCTTCAGTACGTTCAATTCTGCGAGAAAAAAAAACCAAATTAATCCTTTCATTGTTTTCCAAATATCAAACATACAATTAAATATCTACACAAAAATCTTAACATGAAATCTGTTCATAGTTTAAAGATGGATGAAAAACATAATCAAACGATAGGAATGCTCAATGATGAAAATCATCCGACACGAACCAGAGTCGTTGATCATCGACCAGGATTACGAAAAGTAATGTTGTTTTTTCTTTTTTTTTTTTTAATCGAATATATTTTCCATCAAACTATTCTTCTTCTTCTTCTTTTATCTTTATTTTTCATTAGTGTTGTTCATGTTTTTTCTCACCTCTTTGTAATAATTTATTACTTACATTGACCATTGCCGGTGTATTTTTGGGCTTATTGCTCGGATTTTTATGTCGTTTATCAAAACCATCCGCCGAAACGGTTATGATACTATCGTTTCCCGGTGACATTCTTATGCGTATGCTCAAAATGCTTATTTTACCTCTTATTACATCCAGTCTTATAACTGGTTTGGTCAATAAAAGAATTCGTTTTAAAATAAATTTATGTCATTTTTAATTGCATAGGTTTGGCTGTACTCGATCCAAAATCAAGTGGAAAATTAGGTATTTATGCATTAACATATTACTTTTGTACAACAATACTTGCTGCTATACTTGGTATTATACTTGTACAAGTGATTCGACCAGGTGAACGAGGTAATAAAGCTCAAGTACGTTCGGAACTCTTAGGAGAAGATCCAAAAGCTGATCAAATTACAACACTTGACGCAATATTTGATCTATTCCGGTAAACGTTTTTTTCATAACTAATTCAAAAATTGTTTTCTTTTAGAAATATGTTTGCGGAAAATATCATTCAAGCTGCACTTGAACAAGTTAAAACGACAAGAGGTATCAATTATAATTTAGTATAATTTTCCTTTTTAATATACAAAAGAGTATGTTTTTTTCTTTGTAGAATATGAGAATTCTAGTGTGAATGGTACAAATGTGACTAAAGTTAAATTTAATACACGTTATGTTGCTGGTACCAACTTTTTGGGTAAGAAATATTGTTTGTGTTCTTTTCGATAATTTTCTTCTATCAAAATTTTGAATTAAAAAAAAAATATAGGTTTAATTACATTTTGCTGTGCATTTGGTATAACGATTGGAACAATGGGTCAACGAGGAGAACCAATGTTACATTTTTTTCTCATATTAAATGAAATAGTCATGAAATTAATTAAACTTGCCATGTGGTATGTAAACAAATAAATTAATTGCTATTGAAAACAAAAAACAAGACAAAATATATATTTATATAGGTATTCTCCATTCGGTATCATGTTTTTAGTTGCTGGAAAAATTCTCGAAATTGAAGATTTACTTAAATTAGCTCAAAGTTTAGGAATGTATGCATTAACAGTATTAACTGGTTTAGCTATACATTCATTGGTTACATTACCATTAATATTTTACGTTATAACACGTCGAAATCCATTTGCATTTTATAAAGGAATGCTTCAAGCTTGGTTAATAGGTATTGGAACAGGTTCAAGGTAAGATCGACATTGATTTTAATGAAATAATATTAATTTAAATAAAAAAAAAAAAAAAATAGTGCGGCATCATTACCTGTAACATTTCGATGTTTGGAAGAAACATTGAAATTAGATCGACGTGTAACACGTTTTGTATTACCAATTGGAGCAACTGTTAATATGGGTAAGAAAATTTAAATGAAATTAATCATAGAAACATTTAGTGATTTAGATGGTACGGCTTTATATGAAGCTGTTGCTCCAGTTTTTCTTGCACAACTTATGGGAAGACAATTAGGTATTGGTCAATTAATTATTGTTAGGTAAGTAATATATATGAAAAAAAAACAACAACAACAAAAGTTAACATAATGAAATTATTTTACGAAATAGTTTAACGGCAACAGTAGCTTCAGTTGGAGCTGCATCAATTCCATCGGCAGGTCTTGTTACAATGCTTTTAGTTATGTCAGCTGTAAATATTCCTGCAAAAGAAATTACAATTATATTTGCTATTGATTGGGCTTTGTATGTTAAAAACAAAAAAAAAAAAAAAACATTTTTTCATAATTTTGACCGATTTTATTTTTTTTTATCTTATTTCAGAGATCGAATTCGTACATCAGTTAATATATTAGGTGATGGTATTGGAGCTGGTATTGTTGATCATCTTGTTCGTAGTGAATTAGGTCCAACTGAACTCGAAGAAGGAGAAAATACAAATAAACCTATTCAAGTTCGAACAGCATCAAGACTTAGTGCTGCACGACGTTTGACGAGTCATGAGGATTTTACTGAAACAGCTAAACTTTAATAAATAGATATTTTTAAAATTGATTTTTATTTTCTCAGGTAATAACAACTGCCTTTGGATTAAAACAATATAATACTTAACATTTAAATACAATATATCTATCTATTTTATATTAGTCTAGTTTTGTAATCAAGAAAACTGTGTGTATATGTGTGTATGTGTGTATACAGATTGTATGTCTTATTATTTTTGTTTTTGTTCTTTTGTTAATTAATTTATTTGATGTTGTTTCTTTTATTTTGATTTGTCATATAGATTCAAAACAGAAAAAAAATATAAGAAACTGTTAATGTAATTGTGTATTAGAATTGAGAATGCATTTATTTATTTTCTTTTTCTATTTTTATCATTGTCGTTAGTAAATAATTAAATATCAGTTGAATAATATTTGATTGATTTTTATCAAAGAACAAATGTAGATGAACAATCAAAAAAAGAAAAGAGCAAGGTAATTTCCGTTAAATTCACATAATGAATAAGTATTTAACAAAGAATAGAGATCGATTAACTGAATAAGAACAAGAATTGAAATCGACAAAAAAAAAAAAAATAAACAAACAAACAAATTCATATCGATTTTTGGATGAACAACGAAATCAATGGTTTGCTTATTATATGTTCATCATTAAGAAGATATCAATCATTTATCTGATGAAGATTAATCTTATTTATTTATAAAGAAAATCCATCATTTATATATAAATTCACTAGAATAAGTGTAAATCGATGGTTATATCGTTAATAATTTTCATGATAAATGATTTATTCCGATTGTTAGGATTTCAAGAAGTATTTTATAATTGATATTGTACTTGTTTGAGAAGATCGAGTTTTCATGATATAAATTATATTTCAGAACTGATGTACGAAACTTTAGTTTATTACTTTTTAATAGACTAGTATTGTACAAAGAACTTTATTTGTAATGAATCTCAAAATAGAAAGACCATTTTGTTAATGTTAAAGAGAGTCTTGACATGAATACCATTTTGTTTTTATATCCGAAACATAATAAGCTATAGTGAATGCACCAGACATTGCTTTGAAAGTACTCAATCTCCGTTCATTTTATAATTTATAGAAAATTATCAAAATTTTATTCTATTTAATTATATTGAATAAAAAATAATACGAGACAAAGATACTACTTGGAATACTTAAGTACTTCCTAATTTAATTGCCTTTTTCCTCTCACATCTAAAATAAATAAAATATTTGACTCAATTTTCATACGTTTTCGTTATGCTACTGTTTAGATGTATTTTAAAAAAAGCATGCTGCACATACTGTTATTCATATTATCTTCATTATAGAATGATTTATCTAAGCTATGCTTAGATATTAATTGATCTATCTTCGTTATAGATTATTGTCAAAATAAGAATTAAGATTAATTATGTCAACATATCCGTCATATATGATTTATTGATTTAATATGAGGTTATTTTTATTTCAACTCAAGAACCATTCGATATTTATTCAAATTCATCTCATATCAACATCGAAAAAAAGAAATAAGCAAAATTTTTTTTTAATCATCACATAGAGAAATATACATATATTGATTGTGCTATTAACTTTTAAATAATCTTGATAGTATTTATATATATATATATATGTCGATAAACTAAGTATGAAAGAAGATATTCTATAAGTAAATAGATTATTAAACTATACTTAATAGCAAGAAACATGAACGAGAGTTAGTTTTTTTTTGATTATCAGAAAATGATTTCATATTCTAAAAGATTCTATTCGTTTGTAAGTGTCTAACTATTTGTTCCGTTAAATTAATTTTTCAAGAGATATGCTTTTGTCTATTTAATGAGTAATGATTCAAAATGACAATAATCATTCATTAAAAATAATTATATTACTTTGTTCTTGATATGTAAGTTCAAGTTTCTTCATATATTTAATAAAAAGAAAAAAAAAGTGTTACAAAGACACATACAAAAAAAAAGAAAAAGAACTAGGAATATATCTGACATGATGTAATATTCTAGTTTTTTTTTTTTTTTTTTTTATCAAATTCTTAATCAAGTTTTAAAATTTCTTTAAGTGTATTCGATTCAACAGCTGATACTAAACCATCAAAATCACAACAATATTGATCATTATTAAATATTTGTGGTAGAATCATTTTTTGATTTGATGTTGCTAATGTACGTTGTAAAAATTCTTTTTCATTTGTATTTTTTGTATCACTTATATCAATATCAATATAATCTATTTTATTTATATCAAGAATATGTCTTAATTTACGTTGATTACCAATTATTAATTGATTACTTGTTATATTTGTCATGTAAACTTTTAAAGGCATCTTAATTGCTAAAATAAAAAAAAAAAAAGAAAGACGTATCTATAACATTAAAAACTAACAGCTGTTTAATATTTTTACAAGGCCACAAACTAACTGATATGCCCTTTCGTTGATAATATATACTCATATATAACAAGGACTGATTAACTTTGATAGAGGAAAATGTCTATGATATATATGAGATAGATTATTATTGATAAGAGATTTAGTTTGGGTTTATACTATGGATATGTAGTTATTATAAAAAAAAAAAAAAAGATCTTTTTTTTACTCAATAAGTCATGAAAAGAAAACTTAGAAAAAAGAAACAGGTAATGGATTTCTCACAATAAATATATCGCAATTAAATTTTTGTGATAGAAAATGATAAAGTTATGCTTTTAATATTTCTCATAACAAAATTTAATGAAAAGACAAGTAGGTTTACTTATACTTATCTTTCAACCTTTTCGATAAGAACAGTTAATTTTTTTTATAATAGTGCTTTTAGTCTTATACAAAAGAAAAGAGAAATGGGAAAACTTAAGTGATATGTTAAAATTTCCTAGGTAAGAAAAGAAATCTACTTCTTTCATTTCACTAAGATGTTACTACTCTAGGTTGATAGAAAGAAATAAAAGCGAGAATTTTTCTTCAAATAGTAATTCATTTATAAAACATTTAATAAACTAAAATGTTCTATATAAAACATTAGACAATTCTTCACAATCTAAGTTGATAAGCAACTCGATATGAAATATTTATATTCAATATCAATAGTAGATGGAATACCGCCACTAGTGTCACCGGTAAAGTACTAAAATAAACGAACATGATTGGATGTATTGAAAGAACCGATCATATTCTATACACACAATCATAGCGACACTTACCCAACATGAGAAGAAGAAAGAAAAAAGAGAACTATAATCTAAAACGTTTTGTTTTTATTTGCTTTAGCTAATATATTTTCTTTCTCGATTTAAGTAATCTAACTGAATTTTCATTTTGTATATTGAAAAACAAAATATGAATGAATCATGAATACATATATTCTCGTACATATTTATCATAGAACGCAATTATTAAAAATATAATCAAAGAAAAAAAAAATTATTATTATTATTATTTCTTTCATTTTAGAAGAATTGTGCGAGTTTTTTTTTTTCTAGTCATGCATTTCTATTGTCAATGTCTTAATGTAACTATTGATGTATTAGAAATAGATGATAATCAAGAAACAAAGACACGTATGTATTTTATTTGTTTATATTTTATTTTTATTTTTGAGAAACAAAATTTTTTTTTTTTTCATAGATTTTCTCACTACTGATATGATAAGATTTGTTAATCTACCTCATGAATGGTTTCAATGCAATATATCATCGGAATTAACAATACATATTGCATGGCAAAGTTTATTTCAATCAATAAATGTACGTGATATGAAATTAAACCGGTGCTTAGTTTGTAATCAATATACACATGTAACATATATTGATAACAATAAAATATTGATTAATAAAGATCTTCTTGTATGTATATTAAGAAAGATACAATTACATAAATGTATATGATATTTTTTATTTTTGTTTTAGAATGATAAAACAGTTAAAAACATATATCTTGATCCAAATTATTCAAAAATAACTAAAATTATTCTACCAACTAGAATAAGTAGTTTACCAATGACAGGTTTTTTAGGTTCGCAAGGTAAATTAATTCTTTTCTATTGTTTTTGGTTTAAATTATATAAAAAAAATAAATAAATTAATTTAGATGAAACTTTTCAACGTGAATGTGAATTAGTTCGACAACTTTATCGTCAATCAATAGATGATGCCGATCGAGAAACAGAAGAAAAAATTCGGTATAGAAATAAAAAAAAAAAATAAGTTTTAAGCAAATTTTGATATTCTTTTTTTTGTTTTTCTAGACTGTATCAACATGAACAAGAACAAATTTTAGATATAAAAACAGAAGCAATGTATAAAGAATTAGATACGTTTTTAAGGTAAATATATTTTTATTATTAAATATTCTTGTATATATATTATTGATTACAATGAAGTTCCGTGGAAAATTTTGAAATACTCAATCAAAATAGTCTAAACAGAGAAAAAAATGATAAAGTTTTCCTCTTCTTTTTTTCTGACAATAGCATTTTTTACTTTTGTGGCATCAGGAAGTAGATCACCCTATCAATCAATTCATGAAACTTTCTATACAAACTCGCTATCAAAAACATCCTCTATTAATATTGTTTTGTGACATCCGGTGAAATTCCGGAAGCCTATTTCTCAAATGACTAAAGTCTAACGAATCTAAAATTTTCCGATCCAAACTCGATGGATTCTACTTGCTGAGTATGTCAAAAGAGTAGACTGTATGATAGGATTTTTTTTTTCAATTCAATAATTATTTAATTTATGAAACATGTTCATTAAAGTTTGAACTCAATGTTTTAATTATATAATGTATGTTAGTAAAATTTTAATTTAACTAACAAGAATATTTTAAAAAATGTTTTTTTTATTTTTATCATGTCAAATTTATATTTGGTAAGATAGATTTTAATAAGATAATAGTTTTTGCTACAGATAAGAGTTAGAATATTATTTTTAATCAGAAAAATAAATATTTGATAATTTTATAGTTTCATGCGAACAATACCTCGATATATGTCAAGTAATAAAATCTCTCCAATATTACAACCATCAAATTCTTATATCAATGAAAATAGGTTAATAGTTTGTTTTGTTTTTCTTTTTAATTTTTTTACTAATATGAATAAATTAAAATCATTTTTCTTGACAGTATGGAATCAGGTTTTGGTTCGGATATATTTGATACTAGTGGACCAGATTTTAGTCGGCAATCATCAACAATCGAACGAGTAAAAAATTATGATTTTTCAAGTATTTTATTATCAATTTATTCTTTCTTTAGACATTTTCCGAACGTGCTAATAATCTAGACGAGGACACAATTGATGATCCAATGTTTGATAATACAGGTATATTTAATTAGTAATTTTTTTTTGTTTATTTTAAACCTTTTTCTTTTCATCTAGGTTGGTTTTCTGGTAAAGAAAGTTTACCGAATTTTTCTACATCATTACCAAAAGATATTGCATTTCGTCCTTATACAATTCCCCAACAGGTAAGTTCTTTTTTCTTTTAATTAATTTCTTAAAAAAAAAAGAAAAAAAACAAGAATTTTTTTTTTGAATTTAAGAATAACGATGATAGTAATGATCTTGAACGTATTGGTAAATCCTTTCGTGAATTAAGTCAGTCATTAATGTGTACAGATGGTACAGAAGTATTTGGTGATTTACCTTCACCAAGACTTAATGCTCGACAAACGTGAATAAATATTTTATTTTTATTCACATTTATTTCTTACTCATAATAATCAATTGCTAATGTTCACGTGTTCTTTTCTTTGTTTTTCCGCTTCTAATTCATATATATATGTTGTGAGCATTATTTTTTGGTTGCTGCTTTTTCGAATGATTTTTCTATTTGTATATCTATTATTCTTCGTAGATAGATCCAAAATTAAAAAAAAAGATATTTAAAGATTATATTGCCTCCTTGATAGATTTGTATGTATTCTAGTTGCTTTTCATTAGTATATTGAAAGTATTCTTATTTCATAGCTTAATGTATTCATAAAATATATCTATATACATATGTGTGTGCTTGATTTTTTTTTTAACTATTGTTGTTATAAACATATTGAATATATAGATACAATATGGTCGATTTTTAGATCGTAGAAAATAAAGTATCATATTGATCTTATCTCGATAAGAAAATGTAATGTAAACACATATGTTTTTTCAGCAGTTGTTATGAAAAATAGATTAGTTCATATTAGTTTTTGTTGTTTCTTTTTCTTTTCTTTTTTTTTATATCGATATTTGTATGTATAAAAATTAATGAGAACAGACATAATTATACTTGTTTTGTGTTTGAAATAATAAAAATGAAATTTTGAATGATTCGTCAGTATGAATGAATTTATTTCTTATAGTTTTCGAAAGCAAAACTCTTTTCATTATTGATAAATGTTAAACATATGTACTTTGAGTACAAATGATAAGTGAACTTATTAACTATTACGCATGACTAGCAATATATCCATAATACTAACTGTATTTTTAGGCATGCACATATTAGTTAAATATATGTAGACTATTTATTATTCATTCCTCTCACATACTATTGGTCTTGGCATATAATCATATATATTTATTTTGACGTCAATGAAACACCAATTTTATTCAAAATATGTATTATCTTTAATGCTATTTTGTTTTTTATTCAAATGATTGCATTTTAGCAGATTATTGTACTTACTATTAAACAACTACAAAACTTCAGGATGATACTTTGACTCTAGATGAGAAACACTAAATATAACAACATTTCCTATTTTGTCGATCTTTCAATTACTTCAGTTGATAAAATGTTTTACAAACTTGTCTTCTTCGCAATGATTTCCATGTATGCCGATTGAAGAATTATAAAAGTTAGCAATAGAGAATACGTGTAACTTCGAAGTTCGCAACTATATTTTTATATGTATTTTTGAATTTTGATATGAAACTTTGTACATATAGAAAAATCAACCAGATTAACTAACACAAAAAAGCTTCAGAAACTTCAAACTAAATCTCTACTAGATATGAAATTTTCAAAAGGTCCAAACGCTCAGACTAGGTTTAGTTTTGACTCCAATTATTTTCAGTGAATTAATTAAACTCACTCTGTGCAGAAATAAGCTTTTTTATTTATCATCCAGTTTCAATCACGACTTTACAGAATGTTAATCTTGACTAGAATAGATTATCGATAAAATGTCTCTTCCAAATCTCCAAGATATTCACGAGTTATAGTCAATTCATGAGTTACAAGTACTCTCTACGTGGACAAAGTTTTCAAAATGAGAATATCAGCTAAGATGTCCGGGTGGCTTTTACATTGTAGAATGCACCTGGGGCTAGACTGTAAAAAAAAACTCGATTTTTGAGGTTTCCTTTCTTCGTCTTTTAAAAAAGCTTTTTCGAAAGATTCTTTAATTCGTGGCCAGCAAAACCGCTTGTTAAAATGAAAGACCTAATTCTTTTATCAATTAATGAAAACAAATTCTATGTATTGTAATTTTAAATGATTTATTTTATTTTATCATATTTACGGGAATTCTCAATCTTGTACGATTGTCTTCAACCTCTACCAAGATAAATAACAGATGTTACAAACGAACAAATAACAAGAAAAATAGATCAATATACGTGTATATACAGCATAATCATAGACATCATAACCTTTAACATCATATCCGATAGAATTCAGTATTAATTTTGTATCTATCATAGACATTGTATAATACTAAAATTTAACCTAAATGCCGATTTTACCTAAAAAAATAATACTCAAACTTTTTATTCTACTTTAATTCTGTAATAATATGTGGAAAAATGTGTATAAGGGTATAGGTGTAATTGAAGACAAGATGGACTCACCCTCCCCCTCCCCACTCAGATCTCACACGCACACCCTCATGCACGTTACTTCTTTTTGTCTCGTTCTACTTCAGAACCAAACACCGAAATAATGTTAAATTTATTCAAATCATTGATAAGAACAATCATCACGTATGGATCACATATCCGTTTAACAACAAACGACAAAATTTGGGAATGACTTCAAGTGACAGAAAATAAAGTCTTACGAGCAGCACTACGAGTACCATCTTATAGATCTGTAGAATACATTCATCAGTTCAACAACATGCCTAAAATAAAGACAAATGCCACAGTTTTCCTTAGGCAAGCAATATCAAAAGCCAAAAGTTATTAAGATAAAATATCCGAAGAAAATCTGATACACATTATGTTACAATTTAAAAAAATATATATGGAATTTATCTTTTGAAAATATGTAAGATATAAGATATAAAGCAAAGAGTGCTATACTTTCTGTTTTCTATTCTCTCTTTCTTTCGTTGTTACATCTACTACAGATTTATTCACTAATGAATCAATGAAACGTGATAAGAAATAGTATATATATATAAGCATAATGGATGAAAAATCGAAGCGTCAGTTTTAAATGCGTCCTACCATGGTTTACATTCTTTCAGTTTTATTTCAATTTGAGGTGAACTGTCTTCATTTTGTTTGATATCGATTATTTTAAATGCTGAATATGGCAGAATTAATACTTCCTCTTCATATTAAAATAATGATATGTGTTGAATGTCTAATGCAGTCCTTTGATTACGTATTTCATAGATGCATAGAGTACTCAATCGATCATCTGTATCAGCGTTTTTTTTATGAAAAGTTGATGCTATTTTCCTTTCTTTTGATGTCGACGAAAATGTTTTAGTTAAAATGCGTGAACCAACCTTGTATTTTTTTACATCATTAGCAGTAATCATCATACCATGAAACACTTTTCCAATATATGATAATGTCTCGAACTTTGGATGACAAGCATTGATTCCAATGATTCCAATTTTGCTAAATCGACATTTAGCGTAGTATAAAAATCTGTTTCAGCTGTATACGCTGTTAATAAATAAGTTGGATCTTTCTCATTGATTGCTTTGTCAAAGTATTCTTTTATTGTATTGATACCATCTATAACTTGTAATTCGTTTTCGAGATAATTTTTCCTTATATAAGCAATCAACTTATAATAGTGTTGATCTTTGCCATATGATTCCAATTTTTTAAAATATTCATGTGCTTGGTAATCGGCATTATCTGTTTGAAGAATCCATTCGATGGAGTCACTGACGAAACGTTTCTGATTCATGCGACGACGAATTAACTGTCTTATTTTATCGGTTTTAGCTTCATCAAGTGGAGTACAGTCATATTTATTTACTGCTGAATAACTAGCACCTTTCTGCAATAACAGTTCAACAATCTTCTCATGTCCCCGATATGCAGCTACATGAAGTGCGCTAGAACCATTTGGTTCCATTCGATTAATTTCGTCCACTGTCATGATTTGCAAATAATGTTCAACCAAACTGATATTATTGTCTCGGCATGCATCATAGAAAGGACTGATCCTTGACGCATCATATGATGAACCTATCAATGGGTAGAGCTTTTTATAGTAATTTTGGAAAAATAGGTCTTTTATAAACAAATGCTGTATGGCGTTCTTTACTCTACATTCTATATGGAAACATTCTGATTTTGAAAAACGAACCTTCTCGATAGTAGAGCATCACTACATTTGATTCTAACATAATGCAGATCTTGCAAAACATCAACATCTCTGTGAAAGCTTGCCAGTACAGTTCCTTATGAGGCAAAAATGTAGAAGTCGCAGATGATCATCCATTGAGCAAAGAAGAGGTATTGAAAATCCAGAAATTCTTTTAGAAAGCAAGAATAAGTCCGATCCAATGCGCCTACGTCTATCCATTCATTTGGAATATTGTTGGCATTCATCACTAGTCTAGGCGACCTTCTTGCTTCTCCAGCCATCTTTGTGTTGCGATCAGTCAGTCACTAAGTTGACTGACTATACCTAGTGCGGTAGCTGGCTTATTGCTTTTTAGTCTGTTGGTTGCCCTAGCGGTTTCCTCCTCTGATTCTTCATTTTCTTCGCGATTCATAGTCATATTTCGAAGTCCACATTCGTTCTCTTCACCAGAACGCCCTCTTGTATGTGTGAGGATGAAGGAAAGACTACAGCTACACCTAGCTACACTATTGTGAGCTACGCAGAAAGTAATTTTGGGTTTCATATGAATTTCATGGCTTATCTAAAAGTGTAACTTTTGTGTGGATGTTGGTCAAAAACAAAAGCATTTGAAGTAGATTTCTAACTATAGAAAAATGATTTGCATTACACCAACACAAGTTGGACGGCGTCGAAACACGTTTGGGTTGGGTCATTCCTTCCTCGAGTTCGGAAAGCGTCTCCTACATGCTTCTCTAACCTTGATGGATTGCTACTACTACTACATCTAGCTATCAAACATGAAAAATTAGAAGCGAAAAAACTAAAAATTTAAGAATATGAAAGGGAAGTATATCCTGAAGGAAACATTTCAAATGATTGTCATGTTCTTTTAGGTGATTTTGAGAAACAAAAATAGTCTAAGAGAAAATGTGAGCCTGGGCCTGGATGAAGATAAGATCCACACCCGTGCCCATATCGTGTTCGGAGCACCATTAAATCTATCTATCAAGCATTAAAAAAATGAAAAACGAAAAAATTGAAAGTTTTAGAACAGCAAAGAGAAGCATACTCCAAAGAAAACATTTCGAGTGATCGTCATGTCTGTAGGTCAATCATAACAGACAAAAATCTTTACAAATGTTTTCATCGATGTGAAAAACAAATTAACTTGAATCATTTATTTAGTTTTTACGAGAGACAACAGATTTAAATAGATGAAGTAAAAAATGATTGAAACTGATAATGACTTCCATTGCTTATTTAGATTGAGCAAGCTAAAATCGACATTGTTCGGTGAAATCGTTTTTTTCAAAATTGAAGATTCCATTGGTCTTAATCGAAAACCGACTTACATAATCAGTTTTTTCTGATCTTTCAAAATGAGTCTATTTTAATTTGGTTTTTAACCACTTGTTTGGATGGATAGCAAGCCGTATCTGTGTGTTCATATTTCATGAGACGTACATTGATAGAAAGATATAATTTCTGATTCTCCTCGCAGTATCAAAAGTAAGGATGTTGTTTATCAAATGGAATATTCTTTTTTTTTAATTTTCACTCACCTGGTAGGATTGGAGTGATCGATTGTGGAACAACAGTTGGTACCGGTTGTAAGAGCGGAAATGGAGGACGAGTTTCTTCCAGTAGAACAATGTGAAGGTTTCCTTGGTCAAGACAGCTCGTTACTTTGAATTGAGTAGCAGCCATAAGAAGTAATTCATCGTCAGATGGATAATATGAATGCTTGCAAATATCTCTAGCTGATTGACATTGTAAGGAAAACATCGTTCTGTCACCTACCGTCCCCAAAAATTGTTCTGATTGTAGAACATTAATATCTGTTGTGCATGACGAGAAGCTCCACCACACGATTGTTGCTCCTTCAACGTAGCGCTTGCTCAGGTCTAATTTAACTCCTCTGTATGCAGTTGTACGAATTGGTGGAAGACGAAAGAGAGCATTGAGGAAAAGTCTCAAATAAAGATACCACGGTTTGAGTTTCTGTTGTCGATCCTCTGCACATAATGTGTCATTCAAAACGAAATATAGGCATTGATCGAGTGGCTCCCATCCCATTGTGTATAGCATAATAGAAGCGGATTCATCTTCTGTCAATCCATCGGCAGGATTCTTACATCGTTGTTTGGCAACATATGCGTAGCTTTGAACTTCTAATAGGATCGGAACAAGTGGTTTAACTGCTTGTTCCAGTGAAACAAGAGGCTCTTTGCCATAGCCGCTAATAGATGCAAGAAATTCCAGCGGTGCCTGGTCAATGTCTTCAATTTGTAATTTACCGTGTGCTGTTGCTTCTGCTCCAGCTTCTGCGGCCATGTGCGGCAGAAAGAAAAATTTTCACGAATTATTAAAATCGTGAATATCTGCAAAGTACTAAATGATAAATTTTATGCTGGTAATATTTTCGTCAACGTCGATCTTTTTTGTCTCGTGGTCATAATCAACTATTATTATGTTGCTTTATTTGATCTAATGTACGTTTGAAAAATATTAAAAGGGTGTGAGTGTGGGTGGGTGTGGGTGTGACTGGGTGTGGGTGTGATTGTGGATGTGTGGGGGTAGATGAGTTGAATTATGGCACCCACATCCAGATTACGAAAATTCGGTAGCTCACACGCTTCTGCAGTTGAAGGACAATTCAGCCGACTTATAGAGCATCTACCTTTGGAAAAATTTTAGCAACCATGTTTTGTTAAGAACTACTTGGAACCAATGTGATCAATAATAGTTTCCTGATTTAAGTAAAACGCACCTCTTATGACGATTAAACCGTACTCTATTACATACAAACGAAGTGCATGTTATTGAGTCGAAAGCAAAAATAAATTCAATGGAATTTAGCACAGCAACCTGCATTCTCAGTTTAAAAAAAGGCTTCATACATGTCTTGTGTTACTAAATGATCAATCTGAACTTTGAATTTCACGTCTTTTATTGATTTTGCTACGATTTTTCCACAAAAAAAGTTTGTTCTTCCACTCAGATTTAGTAATACTTCACACTAAGTATCCTCTTACCTCTTATGAAGTAAATTTTGATAGAGAATATGGCGAATTTTATTTTTCAGATTTGTACTGGTATCATGCTAATGACGATGAGTGTATTTCACGAATTCAGTTTGTGTTCTGTTAGTTTCAATGAGAAAAGGACAATAAAAGCAATATAATTGAGAACCTTTTTTTATTTTATAAAACATTCAGTTTTCGAGTGCAGGTGCGGTTATAAATGTACGTCTATATCCGCACTCACACTCATATAATCTGTCCTAGTTTTAGGAACTTTGTGAAGTACTCTGTCAGTTTGAATAGAAGAAATGCGATCCGTTTTGTTCGTAGTTGAAACTGTTTCTTACCAGTGAATAGCGATCAGAAGACACAACAATAGTGTTTTTACTTTACGCGCGCACGTTTCTTTGTAGAGTTAGCAACAAGCACATTTTTTTCACTCAGGAATTAATGCAAAAGCTTCTATTTGCATTTTTCTTCGATATCTTGAAAAGAGAAAACTAAAGTGCTCGCAACTGTTCTCGTAATAAAACAGTGGCGATAAAAAGCACTGCGTTTCTGCGACATCAAAATGTCGACATTAGTGAGAAGATTTTTGTTGCAAAAACGGATGTACGTAGTTGGCGAGATATTAAGAATTTGCCTCTTTTACCAGCTTACACCCTTACTCCTGTTCTGGCTGTCAGTGAAAAAGCTCTCGGCATTCAGTATCGGTGTTCCATTATCGTAGATCTTTTGAGATAGATCTATTGCAGACCATTAAGCAAGAAGAAGACTTATTTTGTAGTACTGTCAATGCACTCTTTATTATTCAAATTAAAGCGTTTTCGTGGCCGCTTAACATAATTCGAATGTAACGTCACTACATCTCGGCCAGTTGAGAGTGAAATTCCTCGAGCACTAGGTTTTGAGCATCGCGCAGTTCGAACTTCTATTGACTGCAAATATTAGACTTCTGTTATAGAACAGGTCCTATAAAAAGCTGTATTCATCCGTAATTTCTTATAAAAATCTGAGAAAATAAGGATGAAAATACTAAGTCCTTATTATGAGGATGTGGGTGAGCATGTGTGGACTGTCGATGTGGATAAGGTTCCATAGCATATCAAACTTCATATCCATACCCACCCACACCAACACACCCACTCACATCCATAACCACACCCCTTTGGCGACAACGAGTCTTCTCATTATGACATTTCTTCTTTCGAAAACCATCAAACACTTTTAAATAACAGTAATAATTTAAGACCACTTTGTGCTTTTTTAAAAGAAACGTATCCATCATTCTGTGGTACCTAAACGTCACCTTTTGTACCTGTTAAATTTGATCTTATCATCTCTTATTCTCAATAAATTAAGTTAAAGAATATTCTAAGAAAAATTAATGACATGAAAAAAGTCGAATTTTAGGTCTGTCAAACTTTAAAAACTTCGCAAGTTACATAAAACTTGTATGATATTGAAAAATGAACTAGGTTTCATTCATGAACTACAAAAATTACGATTACAATGCTTATAGTAGTCTACGAACGTTTTAGCATAAATAGTTTTGCTTCCTCTTCTGGTTAAATATATTCCTACTAATTTAGTACATAGCTATTGATAATGTCGAGTTCAAGAAAATTTTTGAGAAATGATCCAAAAATTTTTAAACTTCTTCGAAGATTGGGAACATCCTTCAAACATATGAAAATCTCTCATCGAAGGAAAAAGCAAACTCAGTAGATAATTTTCTATCTCTAGTCATGATAGACTCAAAGAGACATATAAAACTTTCATTTAGTTCAACTTTGAAGTTTAACACATATGTCGAACGTATCTGATTTTTTAATACATTCAAAACACAGATGCTCTCTTTCTTGCCGATATCAAAATTATTCCTTATGAAAAACTCTAACTTCCATGATGTGAGCTATTCAAGAAAAACATTCTTCTTTTGAAACAGCTAAATTTTATGATAGAGATGGAAAATGATCATAAGAAAGAGAACTGGAATGATGAGTATCGACGATAGTTAGTCACAGAAAAAATGAACAACGTGCACCGTACCTTTCAGTTACCTTGCAGTATGGGATACTGCCTAGTGACAGATTCAGTAGTCTGATATCTTCTTATAACTTTGACTAGCTGTAGCTCAGGCCAGAAAGTCAACCTGATACAAAGGTTTCAACACAAAACTTTTTTGAATACCTGTTACATCACAAAATGAGGTTAAATATGACGTCTATTAAAAGATCAACGAATGTGCATAGGTGTGGCTGTAATCTTTACCATCATTTTTATTTGCGTACTAAACCGAGCAATGATTATTTACACATATTCTTCTATGACTATTTTGCTATTTCTATTGAAATCTTTAAGAAATGTTCAAGTTTCGTCATTTTCAATAAATGAGTGTTATCGCAATAAATAAGTTCATATACTTTAATCAAATTCTTGTTTTCTTTTTGCAAACACAAAACAACATCAACAAAAAAAGAAGAAGACAGTACTATATTAGAAAACACAAATATCATAAAGAGAAAATAAGAAATTTGACAAAAATCGTTCAATAGATTCGATCTAATTGTACAAAAATTTTTCCATCATAAAATGGTACTAATTCATCATCCATTGTTAATTCTCGAAATACATACTGCTCTTTATTAATATCAGGTGTACATATTGTTTTAAAGAAATATCTAAATAATAAATAAAATAATTTAGCATAAAGATCTCTTTAAATTTATACCTATATGCTGTTTGTTTTTTAAATAATTGTCGAAATTCTTTAAATGTTAATTCATTATGAATGCGAGGAATTGTTGATAAAAGAGCATTGTTACTATCGAGTGATGGATACCATATAACATCAATTAATGCATATTGTTTTTTCGTACAAAATGTTTCATAATTTCTGAAAAAAAATTTCGTGTTAATATATATAGTTTTTTTTTATTTCATTTTAACTAACTTTTCTGATGAATCTGTTCCGACACCTGAATCATATCTTGTAAAATGAGTTATTGAGCTTTCATATAGACAATTATCAGCATCATCAATTGTTTTTGCTATTTGTAAATCAAGAACAGCTAATGAATCATCATCGATCATTCGATATTTTATTTGATTATGATCTTCAGTTTGATATGCTAATAAACGAGTTTTAATTTCTTCAAAAAAAGCTGCTGGATTTTGTTGAGCAAGATTACATTGAGTTTTTTCTTGTTTTATTAATTTTGTAGGACGCTGAAAATAGCATATGAATGATAATTGCCTATATTCTATATATATTAAAACTTACTGATTGTTTTGAACTATTCAATCCAATATCATTGCCAGCAATTAGTGTTGAACCTTCTAATGAACTAAAAAAAGAGGAAAATTTTTTCAAATTAACAAAAATTAATTTAAAAGTTTTTTTTCTTGCAAAGGGATGAATTCTAACTTCGAAAGACCTAACTTTATTTTCGGAGGGACATCGCTCTCTCGATTCTACGCTGGATAAAACACTGCACGTTCTATGAGAGTATGAGCAGCACGATGTGAACTATCGAATAGTATCAAAATATTCGAATTATAAAACCACAGATTTCATGAGGAAATTGTGATCTTTGTTAATGTCAGTTGAAAACATCATGTTCATTTCGGATAGAAAACATGGATCTTATTTCAATTGATCAAAATTCATTCTAGAATCGAGAAGAATCTATTGAAGAATTTTGTCTACAAAAATATTCGTACATAAAAATACGTCCTCTATTATCTTCATAACATCTAACTATATTCTAACACTTATAATTATAGTTTTAAGTTATGTTGTATAATACTTACAAGTAATACGCATTGGGCATGAGTAGTAATGTCATTCTTGAAATAAATATACACGTACTCACAAATAAGAGATATGTATATGTCTCTGTTTCTTTTTTCTATGTCGGTAGCGGCGGCGGCTGCGGCGGCATCATAGTGTAATCTAATTGAATCTGATTCATGTTGACAAGATGAAAGGAAGCGACAATGTTAGAAGTTAGAACGATCAAAAGAAAAGCGCATACTTTGATACAAAACGGCCGACGCTTAATCATCTATCAGGGGTAATCTACAGATTGTTCTTTTCTTTTTCTACAATCAAGTATTCAAGCGAAAGTGTGACGAAATACACAGACACACTTATTTGATGATCATGATGATGAACGTAGCCTGCAGACGAATTCTTCGTCGTTTCTTTTTTTTTTCTCTTTACACATATGTGACACATGAACATATGGTTTAATGATGACACCTTTTTTTTCTTCTTTTTTTTTCGTTGTCAGAATTAAATTAGCACGACTCACCTTATGTTGATTGGCTGGTGACTGGTCGTTTTAATAGGTGCAGTCGAACTAGAAAAAGAAATATGATCATTAATTAATATTCATATTGTTTTTTGTCACATCTAGCATAGGTCTCATTCAATTAAGAATTTTTTTACGCGAAATTTTACATTGCATTTTTTTTTAATATGAATTAAGCTTTTATTGATCGATTATTTGTCTGAGATAGACATAATTTATACAGTGAATTTAATTGTCGAGAATTTTAAATCAGACAATAAATGTTTATTGTGATTTGATAGATGATCAAATTTTAATTATTGACAAAAGAAATATTGTAATTAATTTTTATATTGAATCTTTTTCCTTTTTTCAGCTTTCTCAAAATAGTTTTACTAGCAGAAAATTCAAAAATTTTTCTAATAACTTCACTTTGACATCATCTTCCTTTGTCAATACTTATACAGATATAAACGAAAAACGGAAATTAATCTCAAAATTCTGCTTACATAAAAAAGTTGCATCTAGTCCTTAGCATTAATTAAAGTCTGTTCTAGTTTGACATATCGAGCTGAAAATTTTCTCTAGACGATTTATTCATTGCTACGGTAAAAAGTTTTAAGTACCCATCTTACTTAATATTAATTGAAGAATTTGATTGTTGTTTGAATTTATCAAAAATATCTTTTTTTCTTGTAAATATACAACGTTTATACATTGGAGTAAATGTTGATGTAGTTAAAGCTTGTCGTTTTGTTTCTGGTAAATTTTGTTGTTCAATAAGAAATTTTGGATAACACATTTGTAACATATATTTAAGAACATATTCTTGTGCTTGTTCATAAAATCTTATATGATATTCATGTTTAATTAAACGTTGTTTTATTGATGAAAGTAAATGATCTGGTAAAGAAAATATTTTTGATGATGATAAAGATTTTCCATTTGATAAATAATGTTTATAAATAAGTGTAATAATAGATGATTGAGTTTTTTTATTATGAATTAAATTTTTTAAACCATCACATGCTAAATAAAATTCAACTACATATGCTAATTGTTCTGATTTCATATACGTGTAAAATAATTCACATGATTCAGGTTGATTTAAATATGTAAGAAATTGTTTTCGTAAGTCACTATTTGATATTGGCATATTAAATCTAGATAGAAAAAAAAAAGAAACAACCTATTCTGAAATATGAACAAATTTTTCTTTTCTGTTTATATATACAATATGAGAAGATCAAAGATGAACAGAATGAGGAAAAAGAAAATTGACAAATCATTTTTTTTCTCTTGATGATCTCATTCGTTTTGGTTAAATAAAATAATAAAGTTCTCATGATAATTTCTGATCATGTTTGACATTCATTGTCGATGAGGTAATGAGAAAATTCAATGTATTACAAATTAAGGAATCAATGTCATCATATGAGTTTAAAATATGGTACGCTTTCCTACTGGTTTATATGCAGTGAAATTATGTCAATTTATTGGTTGAAAAAAAGACAACATACACACAAGAAATTCGTTCTAATCAATGCGTTATTTTTCACAATGGCAATATGGTTTGGAATATGACTCGATACGGACTAGTATTATTCCTGTCGAACAACTGCTCGTCATTTTTTTTCCATAAGTAATTAATCGAATATGTGAAAATAACATTGGTCATATTTCACCTTTTTGTTACAGTTTGATCCCGACATTTAGACAATTAATTTGTAATCATATCAATTCTATGAAACAAGTCTATGATAAAGCAAACCTGATAATACTTTGGCATCGTGCATCTAAAACCTTTTTCCCATAGCGAACACAAATTTATAATAAATCTAACAGGTATTATAATCGGATGAACCTTATTTATCATTGGACATGATACTTTTTACAGTTGTATAAGGTTTGCGTTGAATATTTTATTGTCATGACTCATGTGTTCTAAATAGAAATGACCATGATCCAAACCAAAAGTAGCTCGTTTCGTTCATGTCTAACTTTACTATGTTTTTTTTTTTATTTCAAAAACGTTTCTCTCCAAAGATAAAGATCAATCGTTCGATATTTTAAATGAACTATCCATCGTCTAGTAACTTATGTTGTTAAAATGTTTAAGAAATAGTGATGAAGATTTTCGCAAAACGCTTCTGTTTCTTGATAAATTATTCATTTAAGTTTATTCGTAGTAATTGAAGTACTTGGGATTAGAAGACATAATCTCAATGTAATTTCTCCTCACCAATTATGCTCATCAAAAGATTTCATCATTCAATTTTCTGCTTAATTACTCACAACATATATTAAATACATTAATTGTCAAAAATTATTAAACAAACTTACTCATCATCGAATGGTCTTTTATTTGTCATCATCACATTGAAATATTTCCTAATGCTTCAATACATATTTTTTTATACACGCTTATGACAAGTAGAAAACAGACGGCATGTAACACTTCTTTTTTTCCCCTCCTCACCCTCTGGCATTATACCACTTGAAAAGCTGAATTTCCTTCTTGCATCCTAACAGACATGTACTGTCTTTCAATATATCATACGAAAAAAGAAACTACTTCATTAAATCGTCATAATGAATCATATTCTTTTTTTTCCCTATTTAATACTTCCTTCTATTACAAATTAATGTACAATTAATTATTTTAGACTGTATTTTTGATTGATTGACAATATGAATAGCTTGAGGGATAGAACGAAATATAATTGAAAAATGGAAAAATATTTTATTAAATAAAACTCAAAAAATTCTCATGTTTGTTCAAGAGAAAAACTATCACAATAAAAAAAATCATTTTCTTTTTAAATTATTAATTTTTATTTTCATCATCTTTTTTTTCTTTTAATAAACGTTGAATAATTTGTTCAATTTCTTCATAATTATCATTTGCACGTGCACGTGGTATACCATGATGATCAATAAAAAATTTTCCTGAAAAATTCCATGTTACTCGACCAGGATAACTTTGTTTTAACCAAGCATATATTGGATGTGTATCATTGCCATTAACATTGATTTTATCAAACATCGGAAATTCAACATTATATTTTTTAACAAATGTTTTTATTGTTGAACATGAACCATGTTCTTGAAATAAAAATTGATTACATGGAAATGCTAAAATTTCAAAACCTTGATCATGATAACGAGAATATAAATCAACTAAACGTTTATATTCTCCATCAGTTTTACCACATGATGATGCTACATTAACAATCATAAGAATTTTTCCTCGAAAATCAGACATAGATTTTTCATTTCCATCAATATCATTTGCTTTAAGATCATACAATGTTCCAAAACTTGGTTGATATTTACCGTCAATTTGTGATGTTGTTGTACCCATAGTTTGTCAAATGACAGATAGATAAATAAACTTTCATCCTACATTTCATAGGTTGTTTTTTTCCATCAATCAAGAAAAGATTCTTTACCTGCATAGTTAACAGCGACAACTTTTTTTTTAACTGACACTGTCACAATCACTATTGTCGGTAGAGTGAAATTTCAGTGTCTTTTACATGTAACTCTGATGAAAATCTAGATTCATTCATCATATAATAACACTAGTACTCTATGTCAGGCTTCGAAATTTGACTCTATCGGAGTGACATCAATATAATAATCAAGTACTGTTACTCCTACAGAGGAATAAGTTTATTCTTCAAATATTAGATAGTAAACAAAAACAAAAAACACTAATTTTTAGGTTAATATATCAATTTTAAGCAAAAAAACCATCAGAGAATATTCTTATTAGCAAGTAGCACTGACAGAAGTATATATATTGGTCAAAAATTTAGATCCAACGTTTTTTTGAAGTTTTTATTGATATAAGAAAATTTCAAATATCTTTATTATTTTTTTAACCACTATATGAGTTAGAGAATAATTTTTTTAACAAAACAAAATCATGTCGATTACTGTTGTAATAATTTGCATAATTCAATCTCATATTGCTGTAGAGTTATAGTTCCATTTTGTAATGCATTGAAAAGTTCAGCATATTTGATTTTTTTCGCTTGTTCAATATCATTCTAAAACGTCGAATGAAATGATTTATTTAATAAAGACAAAAAAAACGAAAACGAAATATAAATTTTTCTATGAATAAATACTTGTTTTTCAGCCATCACAATTATCGAGATGATAGGATATTTTAATAGTTGACTAACGAATACTTTAATGTCACAAAATAGAAAAATGGCTCAAAAATAGATTGATGAACCTATATATATATGTTCAAGCGTCGTCAAATAGACTGATAATGTATTTCTCTCAGCATATAGCGGACGATATACATATTTCAATCTCTAAAAGACAATCGATTGAAGAAAAAACCAGCAGCCCATCATGAAATGTGTTTTTTTTGTATTTATGATTTCGAAGAATTTCACTTGATATCAATATATATCTATGTGTTTATGAGCAAGACAATAATCAATATCTTAATGTTCAACTGTTACAAAATTCCATGGGCGGCACATCAACACTACAAGGGAAGGGATTGCTTTTCTTAAAAAAATTTGGGAAGCAATATATTTTAATCTTAATGAATGCTTTCTCTGTTGTATAATCGGCATCTACTCTCATCAAAAGAGTTGAAGTCAGATCATGTACGATGCACCAACACTACAAGGAGTAATCAATGTTTCCTCTAAAAATCATTCAGAGAATCGTTAAGAATTTATTGCTTCCTCAAAATTTTCAAATATTCTATTTTTACTAGAGTAGGACTAGTTAATCCAACTTATACATATTGAGCATAGCTTTGTAGCTAATATCAGAAGCTTGATTCATAGTATCATGATTTTGTTAACTGTTATTCTGATGATTGTACTAAAATATTATTTTGAGCTGAAATTTTCAGAGGTTTCTACTAATAATTAAGACTGTTTATTAGCAAAATCTCAAGTCAAAATGCAGTCATTCATATTTCATTGGACTCTACCTCATATAAGCTGAGTTGAATCCCATTTTTCAAAAGTGTTTTCTAATTTGCAAACATTCCCTTTTTAGCACAATTTCAATTCAACTCATAAAGAACTTGATAAATTATTACACAAAACAAACAGATATTTATGTTTTTGTTTCATGAATTTATCGATCTGTTTTAAACTAGTCTAATTTTGTTCGAGATTTCGATTATGAGTTTAAAAGTATATATATCACATCAAAAATATTATATGATTAAAGTGCAAATCGATTTTAGTCACAGAAGAAATTTTAATCATTCGATCAAACTCTTTGTCTATGTTGTACTCAATGAAGTCGAAAATAATGTCAGACAATGTCCTGTGCTGTTTTTTTTTTCTTTTGAAATGATGATCATTTTAGTTCATAGATATTGCACAGTTCAACAATCATAAGATCAAGGTTTAATCTGAACTTATGCTTATTTATAAGTATCAATATTATTAGATTCTTCTGAAATTTTCTTTTGAAAAGCATGTTTTCTTTATGAAATATTCAATGATTAAGAAACTTCCATATTTCATAGGTAAAAGTTCAAATATTGACTCTTTTGATCAACAAATATCTAGACAATAAAATCATGTTTTTCAAGGAAAACTTTCATTGTTATCTAATAAACATTAACCATAACTTATAAGTAAAATTTTAAATTAAATCTGCATCTTATAATTTTGAACTAGACAGTTTCCACAAAAATCGAACTTCAAAAACATAGAACATAGCTTCATTAAATACTACACTAACTAGAAGCTACTCAACTAGTTCTTTTCTTAGTTGACAATCTTCTCTCATAAATCAGATCAATCCTTCAATCATATCATATTTAAATAATCTCGAAAAGGATAAGCATTTCGTAAAAACCAATTGATAATACAAATAATTATATATTTCATCATTTTTATCATCAATTTATTTGACGACTCGATTAAATATAAGATCAGTCATAAGTGATTTTCTTCTGACTTCAAATTAGTAAAGAAGAAGAATAAAAAAGATTATAAACTTTAATATCAATAATTCAAAACTGATCTTATTATATAGAGAATAATTGAAATTTCATATTTTACCGTGTTCATTCATAAGATGAATTTTCTTCATTTTCATCTTTTTATCTCATAGTACTCTACGTTAACGTTGTTTCATTTGTCTTACTTCTTTCAATTCTTCTTCTCTTTCTTTCATATTACGTACATGTATACTTACTTTTTTGAGTCTTTATAAAAGCGAAAATTAAATTTAATTAAATATTTAAAAAGAAACATCTTGTTTACTTGTTTTTCACATGTACGAGAATACTTTGACTAATGTTTTGTTTTTCTTCATAAATATACACAAAAGAAAAAGATTAATAAATAAAATATTTTATATATCGAACTTCATCATCAAGTTGTTGTTCAATTATATAAACTTTATCTTCAAGTAGTCCATGAATTGCTCGAGATTTTGTTTTACCAAAGTCTTCATTTACTTGAAATTTTTCATGTAATTCTGAATTGTGTTGTTCAAGTTTTGTACGTGCAACCTAGACAAAAAAAATAATTATTATATAAAATTTTATTTCTTCTAGCAATACGATCAAGCATAAATAGTTTTAATGGTTCCTGTTAATTTTTTATGTTTATCACCAATCATCTCTATATTTGTTTTACCTTCTTCAAGTTGTACAAGACGTGATTCAAGTCAATTATGTACGACTTTTATTTATTCGATTTGACATGTCACTTCAAAAATTTTACTCTGAAAAACACTTGAATGAATGAAATACATAGAAAAGCTATTAGCAAAATTATTGTAGGATTCAATAGAGTGCACTCATTGAATGCTTTTGACCCAATTCAACAAGATAGGTAAATAATTTATTTAATGATTAAAAGAGAAGAGTCTAGAATGATTTTTTTGTTCTTGACTTTTGTTCTTGAGATGTTGAAACTTGATTCGGTTAAAACTAACCTACATGTAAAAAGTCTTGATCCCAAAGTTTTGTTTAATTTTCGCCCACTTATAGGTTGCAGGAGTGAATCAAAAGTAGTCAGATAGAATGAAAACATTATGCTCTTTCTAAATATATATTCAGAGTTTTTGTGGGTGTGTTTGGGTTGTAGATGCAGATGAAGACATGATCCACATCACTCACACCCGCACTCCACAATTAGTTTGGAGAAAAACAAAAAAGACTTTGAACGCTTCCGTTCTTTTATCTTTTTTTTGTCGCAGACAATGTTTCTATGAAAGTTTTTTTCGAAGAAAAAGCAGCAAAAAATATCTGGCAAATTGAATTCGTACAATGTTCCTTTTTGATTATTTATTTTTTATTTCATCAAATGTGACAAAAAATATATTATAAGCACAAATATTCTATAACACCTTTTGAAACTTCACCTAATAATCATATTCTGTTTTGTTTCACAAAAAAATAAATTCTGCTTGAAACGAATATTTGATTATATCCAATAACTCAATTTTCTTTGGTTGGTTGAAATTGTTTTTATTCACATAAATAACAATGAAACGAAGAGAATTGTATTGATTTCATCAAACTTTTAAACATTGTCATTGCTATTACTCTAAATGGATGGATATCAATCTACTCGTGTAACATTTATTCCAAAACCAACTAAGTATCATGCACAATCGAAGGTAAATGGTACAGTTTTTCGATAGATTTCGTTTGTTCTTCTTGGCGTAGGTCGCACCTCTTTCTAATAAACCACACTATGAAGACACTAACATTCAATCCTCATGATTAGCTAATATTCAGTCATGGATAATATCAACAAATTCTTTTCACCTACCATTAACAACACAGTCTACAGAACGATTAATTAATAGTAGCACACATAGATCGAAAGAATTTGAGTCATATTTATCATCTTCTTTCGATGATGTGCAACGACCAGTAAAAAATACTTTAAAGCAAGTGACAAATAGATTAGCTTTCTGTTCTATAAAATTTGTTTATTATAGAGAGATGTACGAAGGAAGAATAAAGACAAAAAACAAAAATTTCCAAAAGTATGGCTTATTCGTATTATGATTATTGATGTTCTATTAATATTAAGTGCAATTACAATTGATATTTATCTTATCATTCGTGTCAACACAAACACAAATAGAATAAAAAGTATATATCATTTGTTTTTCTTTATTCAAATGTTTGCTATTAACATCGATGAATACTTACGATAGCTGCATGCATCAATTGGAATATATGGTATAAAAAAACTTATTCACTGTATAAAAATGGCTAAAAAACGAAGTCAAAACGAGTTTGCCTTTTTTCCAGAGTTTTTTTACCACATACTTACATCTTTATGGCAGAAAAAGTACTAGCAAAATAATATTTATTATACAGCTCCCAATCCTGTACTTCGTTGGAATTCGAGTGTCGGTGACGGGTGTGGCTGTGGATGTATGTGGGTGTTGGTGTTGGGTGTGAGTGTGGGTGTTGGCTATTCTTCGTGAGCCACCAACACCAACACCCACACCCACACCCACACCCACACCCCACACCCACACCCCACACTCACACCCATACCCACCCACACCCACACCCACCCTTGTTCTTGTTCTTTGTTTTGCATTGTCATTCTAATCTATTACGTGTTTTCTGTCCATATGGTTGAATAAATTCTTATTTAAACATAGCTTCGATTTCCTTTTCGATTGAAAATTCACTAGATCTGCTGGATGTGTCAGCAAATAATTAGATTGTTTTTCAGTTTAATTCTCGAACTTTTCTACTTATATGTTGTCCTTATATCTTGGAATCTGATCGGATGAATAGACACTTTAATCAATCGTTCCCTATTAGATCACTTAGGAGATAGACTCTTCAATTCATAGCGAACATATCCGAGTGATACTTTGACACAATCCCGAATTATTTTCATGTTATGCTAAATTGAAGAATAACTTGAAGCTAAAATCTTCTTGTCTGAACCCACGGAAATAAAGAACGGTTAAAAAATCAGATTAAAACTGGTTTTCTCAACCAAAAATCACAAAGATTCAATTAAATACATTACTTATGATCAAATGCAACAAAATAGATTAAAATTGATTATTCGACAAAAAACTTCAATTATTGATTGAAAATCCAATCAATTTTAATAGATTCGAAAAAATAATCTATTTCAATCGATTTCCTCTCATATAATCTATTAAAACCCGTCTTTCTTCGAATAATTGTAAATAATGGATTTAAGATCTAACCTACTTTAATTGATTTAAAGAATAAACTGTAAAATTTTAATTTCTTTACGATAACCTGTATAATTGATTAAAAGTCTAATCAATTTTAATTGGTTTGAAAAATAATTGTTTATAATGAATTTCTTTTAGAATCTTCCACATAATTGATTGAAAATCTAATCGATTTTCATGTATTTCAAGAATAATCTATTGAAATTAGTTTGCTTTGCAGTCGGATGTGGGTGAAGGCTGGGTGTGGGAGCGGTTGTGTGGGCGTTGTTCTTCTTTTCACCCACGTCCCACATCCATCCACATCCATACACCCACCCTTACCCACACTCCACACTCACATCCGCACTCACACCCACCCCACACACTATCCACCCACACCCACATCCACACACCCACCCACACATCTACCCACACACCCTACCCCACACCCTTAATTTATTGAATCATATAATAATTCTCTTTTTTTTCTGCTTCAGATTGGCTTCAACGATACAACATCGAACAATTCAACAACAAACAATACAACAATAATAAAATATAGGTACTCGTTTTATTTTTTTTTCTTTTTCGTTTTTAACAATCATATGGCGGGTGGTAAGTCCTTCTTTTGTTTTTTTTTTCTTTTCCGTTTAGGCATCAAGATCATCACATCGCGTCATCATTCAACATGAACGAGTGAGTAATTATTTTCTTTTTTTTCGTTGAGATAAGGGTTAGGCTGGGTTAGATACGTTGAGGTTAGGGTTTCGCTTTATAAGAAGGACTTCCTGGTAGTCCCTAAAAGCCCGGTCAGGAACTGTATTGGTGTTCATGGCACTTGATCGGGCCTCCAGACTCACTGACATATGACATCGGATGGGTGCATGTAGATGATGTGGGTCTTCCCGCGTGTGCGAATAGAATAGCTATAAATTCTTTTTTCATTCAATCACGATTTATTTGAACGAGAAAGAGAACAAAAAGAAATTAATCATCGTATTGAGTTTATTCGATATTAAATTTTTGTACCCGAGCATTTCCATTATCGACGACATAGAGATTACCATGACGATCAAATGATAAACCTATAGGATAATTGAGCTGATTCAACTGTGTCCCTGGACCGTTTCTACAAACAATGACACTTCCCTGTGTGGCTCCTTTTGGCCAACGCATGATTCGATGATTTCCGAAATCAGCCACATAGACAGTTTCCAATTGATCGAGAACGACTCCTTGAGGACGATCTAACTCTGTAAGACTCTTTCCTTGTCCTTGACCGCCGGCTATGATAATACCTCGTGTTGCACCTTCTTCCCATTTCATCACACGATGATTGTCATAATCAGACACATACACTGAATGATCTCGATCAACAAATACGTAACGGGGACCGGAAAGTTGATCGAGGCAATTTCCTTCTCCATTGCCACCTGCAACCACTGTTCCTTTAGTATCACCAATTTTATATCGTCTTACTTCATGTTTTTCCCAGTCAACAACATAGAGAGAACCATTCTCATTCATTGTCAAACCGAAGCAAACGATATTCGAAATGATTGTTTCTCCACTAGTACCATTTCGACGAGACCATCGAACTACTCTTCTATTCCCTGAATCGCTGATGATGAGACTATCGCTCTCTTTGTCGATAATCACATCTAGTGGGTAGCTTAACTGATGAGCCCCATTTCCTCGTCCATTTCCACCAGCAATCACTTTTCCATTCGTTGCACCAGATTTCCATTCCACAATACGGTCATTATTCCAATCAGCAACATAAATCGTTTGATCATCGTCGACGTAAAAACCATGTGGCCAATAGAGTTGATTGATTTCACTGCCAGATCGATTTCCTCCAGCAACAGTGAGACCATTCTGTGTCCATTTTGCATTCGGGTGGATATCAGTGGAACTTGCACGTAGTGGTACTGAAATGAAACAAAAGTATGGAGTAGAAAGAAACATCGATTTCATTGAAATGAGTCCTTCTCATTTGTTTTAAACAGTATTGAACTGTTCTCAATTACAAAAGTTTTTTACTTATGACCTGATTAGAATCTGGTTTTTCTCAATGTTGAAAACAAATATTGTTGATTTTCAAATATTTTGTGTAAGAATCCGTAGTTTGACTAAAACTAACTAATATTTGACGGTTAAGATGGAAAAGGATTAATAATACATTTATCAGAAGAAATAAAGCTAACACGATATGAACTTATGAAAAATTGCGATAAACTCGGATTTTATCGTGAATGAAATTGTCTTTTATATCGAATTTTTCCAACATATTCACTAATTTCGTTAGTTCGAGTTTGAAGTATATTTAGATGTTGTGACATCAATTTAAAATCATTTCATTTTTTTGTTTGAATTTTATAATAAAATGAGTTATAATAGAATTTAAACGTAAGTAAAAATAATCTAATTATTCAAATAAATCTTTGAAAAAGTAACATATGATGCAAAACGAAAGGTACGAAATGTTGATTCTTATTTATCTTCCAGAGACATATGCTGAAACAAAAATGTTTCTTACCAAAAGATAGAGCTTTTTCTTTTCGTTTGAACCGTGTATGATTTATGTTCGTTACACATGCCTGAGTGAAATGAGACAAAGAAGAAAGACAAACACTGACGCAATAAATTTGCAACTTTTATATGAATTTGTCAAAAACATCTTTCTAGACAATAATTCATTTGATCTTTCCGTACTCATTAAAAAGCCCTTGTAAAACTGTAGTTACTTCACCTTTTATAAACTCGTTAAAACAGCTTGTAAAACAATAGTTTATTATGCTTAACTACCATCCACAAAAAGTTTTTGACAGATTCATACAATAATTGCAAATTTTTTGTGCAAGTATTTTTCTTTCTTATTCCACTCATTCCGTTTACGAATGTGTGACAAATATAAATCATACACCGTTCGAAACAGGAGAAAACTTCCTATCAACTGATAACAATTTTTGTTTAGAGCGTATGTATAGCACAGATATAAGGTTTGACATTTTGTACGTTTTTTTTACAGAAAAAATGCGGAAATGTTTTGAGAGTGTATCTCTTTTTTATTGTGTCATTCCGTTTACAAACGTGTTTAAAAAATAAATTATCTACGCTTCGAAAGAGGAGAAAAAGCTCTATCTTTTGGTGAAAAAATTTCCTTTCAGTACCTGTCTCTCGAAGAGAAATAGGAGTCAATATTTTGCGCCATTACTTTTGCATCATACGTTATCTAATAGTAATAGATAATTAAAAACTGAAACTCATATATTGATGGATGTGGGTGAGTGTGGGTGTGGGGTGTGGGTGGGTGTGAGTGTGAGTGTAGGTGTGGGTGTGGGGTGTGGGTGTGGGTGTGAGTGTGAGTGTGGGTGTAGATGTGAGTGTGGGGTGTGGGTGTGGGTGTGGGTGTGTGTATGAATATAGATAGTGTTTTCATCCAACGCTTGACCCACACCCACACTCTCCCCCCCCACCCCCCCCCCCCCCCCACCCCCCCCCCACCCCCCCCCCCCCCCCCCCCCCACATCCACACACCCACACCCACACCCTCAAGTCATATCATTTTTTGAAAGATTTAACTCCGTACTACCTTCTTATGCATGTATCTTAATTTTCATGTTTTTCACGAAAATCTATTTTTTTTAAGGAAGGGGCTAAAGCAACATGTGAACTATCAATTAATATCGATCACACTCATTTGCCATCATTATTAAGAAAGTGTTTAATTAGAAAATGAACGATGATTCATGTTTATCTCTATCTTCTCATGGAGTTTTATGTTAAGATAGATATAGACAGGTTGCTTCTTTAGATGTTTAAGGTGTAAAATATGTATAATGGAAAAGAATCAAAAGAACAAATTTGGTAATTTTTTTAAAAAAACTTTACTAATAATGTACCCTCTTAATAATGTTATCAGTTGCGTACAATATATGTTCAATAATAGTTTTAACATTACATTTTTTAAAATGTATCGTTTCAATCTGTTTGACTTCGTACATTCGAAATATTGAAAAACAAAGTCAAAATAAACTGCAAACTTCTGTAATACATAATTGAAACTTATTTATATCTAACTATAATTATTTGCTTTGCCATAATTTCTATTAACATGAATAGAAAAAGTAAAAAGAAAATTCGATAGCTTTACATGTATCTCAGGTTTTGATTAAAGCGTTAAAAATTTAAAAACAATTTCATATTCCATCCCTTGTCGTCGATAGCCAATCAATCACCTATAAAAGTTCTTAACTAGCTATAAGAAAAAAAAGATGCAATCAATGGTCACAGAAAATATGTCAAGTAATGCATGAATAAAAATGAAAATATGACAAAAAATGACTTGTTTACTGTAAGTGATATGAGTAAAAGGGAAAAATATTCAAAGAAATGAAAAAAAGTAATAGAAATTAATACGGAGATAAACAAAATCGAAACAATCGCTATACTGAAGTGCTCCAAAGAAATGAAGACTCATATGCACTGAATGCACAAAGTCACCTGAAATCGGACAAGAAAAGAAAACTCATAAACACGTGTTTTATTTTAGTTTCAGTGTCTTTAGCATAAAATTTATATTTCTATTTGTTTCTCTGATAGAGAAATGTTACTTTGAGTATATTCTGAAATTATCTGAGAACTAATTACCAAGAAAAGGCTGGCAAATCAAGTGATTGATGAAAATATCGATTATAGTGCTGAATATACAAAACTAATTGCATAACGAATGAGAAGAATGAAACAAAATAAAATATTCACAGTGTTCATACAGAACCTATTTATTTGTCTATCTATGAGTGAAGTTAGCGAATGGAAAATTCTAACAAGATTCCGTCAGAAGACCAGGAATCGGATGCATACTTGCAAGAAAGAATTCTTTTCCAAAATTTCCAAGTCTTCCTAGACCGAATGTTATGTAACAAAGAAGACTATGGAATGAATGAAAAAGATTATAACAAAGCTTTCATGCAATCTTCATAGAAGAATTCTATTGAAATTCATGACCACATCAAGCGAAGATCTTAGCTAGAAAGTAATATGTTTCAACGGAATCTGTTTCATGCCGACTCTTAGAACTTTGCACGATAAAGGTTAACGAACTTTTTTGACGGCTTTCAAGAATAAGCATCTCGAATCCGTGCACAAATAATGATAATTCTAATAAGGATTGTAATTACAAAACTTAGGAATTCATTTAGGATCTTGGACGATCACTTTTTCGAGATCCATTCGAACAAATGAGAAAAACAAACTCACAAAAACATGTTGAAATTATAAGGAAAACAAGGGTTTTGGATGTGGACCAAGGTGTGGATGTCAGTTAGGTTTTCTGATAAACTCACACTCATATCCAACGTTTTAGTATTAAATAATCATTTTAGTGCAGTATTTTTTCTTATTTCTTCAATTTTGTAACGAATGATATCATTATCCATGGAAAAATTTTTATAAATAAAACCCTAGTGTTTCTCACTGGGTATTAAACGCGGATATTACATACTGCGGCTTCATAAACCGCGTTATCAATTTGTTAAAACTTGATGTTTGAATCGAGATTTTATTTTAATCATTACTATTAGAATTAGAAACTGAAATAATTTCTACAACTATTAATAAAGCTGCTCATTGTTTGCAGTTTAACATACATATTTCAATAGCGTTCTGAAATTGCCTTTCATAATATATAACTTATTTTCGCCTACGATTACTATCTTCTTAATGGTGAGGCTTTCAAAGCTTTCGCCGAATGTAATAGTACTTTTATCTATGAGAAAAAAATCACACTTCAAATTTACAGCATACATCTATATTACGTACTTATAGACTTATCATCGTATTCCATGGTTTGTGATTGCACTTACATGAATACGAAATGTCAAGAATCTACTGCTTCTCTCTTGAGAAAAATGTCTGACAATAATGGAATTATGATGAGAAATAGTTGAAGAATGCTTCAACATTTCTCAAAGGAGACATATGTTTTTTAATAAAAAGTATATTTAGTAACAGCACATTTAGACATTTTCAAAAAGAACTTTACATGACATATGCTCATCTAACTCTCAATTGTAATAGATTTACTTTGTTGATATCTTTTTTGCAAACTACTTCGAACATATTTCTTTGTGTGTCGATTTAACTTCAAGCAATATCGAAAGGTTATCAGCACAATGCAGTTAATATATGTTCGAAGCTATTTAGAACGAAGTTGATGAGTATTGAATAGTTATGCTACTGCTTCTTATCATAGTTTTAGATACCTCCATTTGTTTTAAAATCAATAGTGATCGTAAAGAATGCGTCAAAAAAATTGAACATAATGATTCATTTTAAAAAGACTCCATTCAAAAATGTTAACGGATCTGCATAATCATGACAAAGCAATGCTATTCTTAAAATAACGAAAAAATATAGTTGAAATAGGTAAATAGCATTTTTAAAGCAACTCTTTTGATTAGTGGAGTACTTTCTCTTATGTATATTGTTTGTCAGTCAAGGAGACAAAACAATTTTAAAAAAATATATGAAAATGGTAACAATATTTCAATCGCGATCGGATGTTAGTCGTGTTTTCCCATTTTGCTACTCAAAGACATTCATACAACTGCAGTATGACACTGATTTCTTGTCGCATACTAGCTGAAATTATGTTTGATTTATTTCTGATAAGTTCCTAGTTGTTTTTAATTCTAGTTTTTCTCGACGGTTCTGACCCACCGTCAGGAACCACGATGATCATCCTTAAATGTTCAAATTCTTAATCTGTTTAGACATATTTTTAATTTTCTCTAGTTATATGCCTCGTCTCAATCATGTTTTTCACCATTTTGTTTTATCCACATAAACTGTTCTTATAATATTTAACACCCATAAGTAGTGAGATTTAATTCTTTGCTCATTATCTTTTCCACAAATTCATCCTACTGTCTGCTCTCATATATCTTCTTATTCTTCATTTTAGT